AGGTTATAAGTGATTTTTCTCAAAAAAATATATTTTTGAAAAAAAGGAAAAAAGAAGGAAAACCTAACCCGGTCTGGAACTGCCTAGACCCATACCTGGGTTTGAGCTGGTACACCCGAGTTCGGGTCCGGGTAGGTCCTTTTGCCTGGCCCGGATGGACACGCTTAAGTTTTACAAATTCGATTTGGGGTGGGGGGGTATTTTTGTAAATACCATGACATAAGGTGTATATATGCAAATAACTCTACATGATTTGATGCTCAAATATATGTGTTTTATGTAATATAATAAGCAACTCGGTGAACTCTCACCACTAACAAGTAAGCAAATTTAGTTTTGGATTGGGGAGGAGGTTGGGGGATTGTTCTCTCGTGTAGAGATCTTCTTATATAAAATACATAAAAAATTAAACATTTCTGTACAGACTCCGTACAGACTAAGTACCACGACTGATAAGGAAAAACCCTCATCAACGCATCTCAGACATGTCTTTTTACGATAAACCCTATAAATGTGTTCAAAACAACTCGAAACAAAACCTTGAAGATAAATAATAACAAAAAAAGAAAGAGCTATACATTCCTCACAGAATCTAGCTCAAAGAAACTGATAACATCAGAAGCTCAGAAACAGAGCTAACCTATTTCAAAATGATAAAATAAAAAAGGTATTCAAGGATCAAAGGTATATCAAAATGATTATGTTGTTAATGTTGTTCGAATAATAATGATTGGATCTACTGTAAATAATGATACACATATGTCAAAAAGTAACACTTAAATCGATCATACATAATGTCATTTCTCCCAATTTGCACATGTCATAGAACAGAATTGAATATATATTGTGTAAAATTTGGCATGTACTTCTTCAAACCACAAAACTAAACATAATTAATCTCTCATGCATATCCAACAGAGTACGTACCTTATTATAAAAAGAATATAAAAGACACAATCACCTCTCATCAAATAAACACATCACTAATTAATTAAAAGAACAATCCTCAACATGTCCATGAGGTCAAATCAATTCAACCAAAACTCATCAAGAACAAAAAAAACGCCATCCGATGGATCAAGAAGTAGTAACTTTATTAGAAAGAGAATCTAAAAAGGCGCTCATCAACTCGTTAAGCAAAACTATCAAGAACCTCAAAATAGTTTGGATCAAGAACGCAGACGGACCTACTCTCAGTTACTCATCAAGAACTATGAATCGTCAAAAGCAGAAAAGGCAACAGATTCACATCAATATCCAGTCATGGGTTCATCAAGAATCATGACCAGCTATCGTCTAATCACACATCTCCCAAATCTAACAGGTCAGTTCGTATGAACAGAAAAAATATCAAGAAGGAGAGGGATTACCATCGGGAGACGCTCTAGTCTGTGTCACCTCCTTCTTACTCGACGCCGGCGGCCGAGCTTTGATCCCCTGTGGAGGTGGAGATCCCCATGCCAGCGAGGTGAAGGATCTGGTTCGAGACCTTAATTTCCAGTGTGCCCCGCTGCCCGATGTTCCGCGAATTCGCCGACGCTACCGGTCCTGTTGAGACAAACTCCTCAGCAATGGTCGAGGTTTGAGTGCTTATCGGCGTTGTGCTTCACAAAGATCCGCTCGTCAAAGATCACCGTGCACAGGATGCACCAGTAGTCCTTTGGCGGTCGAGACTTTTTCTTCGCCATGGATTTCGGTGGTGACTGCAGCTTAAAGAGACGAAGAAGAAGATGAAGGGGGAAAATGAGGGTGAAAGAGTGAGGAACGTGTGATTAATTTATAACCGTGGCGCCAGCTGTAAGATTCCAGTCTGGTTCGGATCCTCTGCAAGGCTGGTTGTAGACGACCACTCCGCTGCAATTGTTTACGTGGATGAAAACTATTGGTATATACGATGGGCCCCGCAACTTAAATACTTGGGTTGTATGCTGTCTTTGCAACCGGCGAAGCACAGGATCCTTACGCTAGTTAATCAGAGTAATTTATACCGAGTTCGGTTAGTTAACCGGAGTGAGCGAGCGACAAACAGCAATTCGTTTGAAGACAGCTGTATTGGAATTCAAGTTAACGATGTTAAAGTAATGATTAGCCCTCTTCATTTTATAACTTTTCACATTTCAGTTAATAAAATGTTAAAGTACGCTAAAAATAATATTATATGATTGTAATGAAGATCACCTTTTAGGATCTGTTCGTGGTACATCTCTGAAGAAAAAAGAAATCATAAAACTAGTTTGAAAACTATTTCTGGACATTTTAGAGGGTTCCCCATTTGACTTATTTAGGTTATTTCACATTGAAATCATAGGATGCAAAACAAGGACTTTCATTTCTTGGGTTTGTTTCAACATCCAAAAATTAAAAAATATCATGGGTTTTCCAATTAAATTTATTCAACGACAGGACATTAAATAATACCCTTTACTTCACATATTTCAGACCCAAAAGCTCTGAAATATGTTTTCTTTAAATTTTAACGTGGCACCCCATTTCAACCCCATTTTCTTTAAATCACCCAGCGAAGCAAACGCTGGAATTGGAAATGTCTTAAGACCAAATGCTATGTGACTAAGGAGTCAGATTTCAAATCGCCAATTTCTCTCTTTATTTGCGCAAACAAACAACCCCTTAGGGTCAATTTCACAAGACCCCCCAAAACGTTGGCTGTTTCATCATCCAAACTCACCCTATTAAAGGGATGTTTTTTTTCAACTAATACGGAATATAGAATTTTTTTTTGTTAAGGGTATTTGGGTAATTTGACTGTGAAAAGTGACACCTCTAGGTAGGGGTGTACAACGGTCGGTTCGGTTCGGTTTTTACCAAAATTTGAACAATCGAACCAAACCGCCTATAATTCAAAACCGAACCGAACTGTTGCAAGTCGGTTTGGTACGGTTCGGTTCGGTTTGTTCGGTTCATTCAAAACCGAACCGAACTGTTGCAAGTCGGTTTGGTACGGTTCGGTTCGGTTTGTTCGGTTCTAACTTCATCAAACTTCTTATCAAACAACAAACTGTGTTAAAGAAAAAAATATCAACAAAGTAGGAGATTATGAAGCATTAAACATTGATATAATGATATTGTTTTCAACCCATAATGATCCAGAAAATGAGTTTAGAGTTTGAGCCTTTGACTCTTTGGGGACGGGTCAGGTAGGGTTTGAGATCGGAATGGGTAGTATTGCACTATATTCGGTCGGTTCGGGTCGGTTCGGTTTGAAAAGTTTTCAAACCGACCCGAACCGCCCTACTCATAAAACCGATTTTTTCGGGTCGGTTCGGTCGATTTTTTCGGTTTGGACCGAACCATGCTCAGCCCTACCTCTAGAGGTATATGTTGAGAAAAGCTAAAATTTTAAAAATATTATTTGAGGCAACACAAAATTCTGGGAAAAGTTTAGGGGGTTTCATGGAAATGCCCTAACGTTTGGGTGTTTCGTGAAATGTAACGTTTATTTCAGCTTAAGAGCGTGCTTGGTGTATTTAAATTAGAATTTAAATATCGTTGTTCAAAGCTAATTACCGAAACAATCTTAATCCGGTATATTTGATTTTGGATTAAGAATTTACTTATCTGAGCCAATTCTATAATGATGGTAGGATTTCGTAGCAAACTTTATTACGTAGAACATTCCACTCGACTTTAAGCTTTTTAACGTGTAAGGATTTATTTGCATATGTGCCTGCATTTTATTTACCAGAAGCATCGCCGGGGTCGCGAAGTTGTTATTCTATCGGAGAGAGAAAGAATTATAGACAGATGAGTATTAATTATGGGCTGTTCCTTTTTATATTTGATTTATTACAGTTGCAAAACTAATGATTTGCAATAACACTTAACTTACTGTCTTCAGTTAGCAACTTAATCCCTTCATGTCCTAAAATTAAATCTGATGAAAGTGATTTGTGTGGGTCCCATCATACGGTATGTCTATCTCAGTCTACTTATGCGTTTTAAAATTGTAGGTTTGAGGGCAAACCCGCATTGCAAAAAGCCTACAGCTTCGGTGTTCCATGAAGAATTGTTGGAGTATCGGTGGCATATCCGTAAATAAATTTCTTAAAAATAGCTCTCACATTTCTAGATAGATACATTTGACGGTTATGAGATGTTCCACACCCAAAATTGTAATTAACTATAATTTCAATTAGGTTAAAAGGTTAGTTTAGAAAATACAATTTAGGAGAGAAACCGAATTTATGATTAGCTAGAATTCTCCAACTAACTAATTTCAATTAGTTACAATTTAGGAGAGAAACCGCACTTTCCATAGTTCAAAGAAACATAAAGGCAATGATGCATCCTATTTTTTTAGTTTATAAGCTAATTTTTGCTAGTTTTATTTGTTACCTTTTATATATTGTTTATAAAAGGCAACAATGCATCCTATTCTCCAAAAATTCTCGTGAAGAGGCGCTATGAAAGGTACCCCATCTTTTTTCTTTTAAATTTTTTTTATTTCAATAGAACACTATGTTATGCTCATTGTTCTTGGCCTCTATAAAGTCATTGGATGATAATTAAAAGACTCTTAAAGCAATTATGTCATGTGATGCAATTAGAAGAGAATTTTGAAAGACTAAAATACCCTTTCTTATTTTAGCTCATTTGTTATTTTTGTCAATTTAAAAATTTTAAAAAGCCTATTTTTGGAGCACCGAAGCAAACCTCTTGTGAAAAACAGTTTCAAAACGCATAATTAAGTAGACAGAGATAGACGTACCCTAAGATGGGACCCACACAAATCACTTTCATCAGAATTAATTTTAGGACATAGAGGGATTAAGTTGCTAACTGAAGACAGTAAGTTAAGTGTTATTGCAAATCATTAGTTTTGCAACTGTAATAAATCAAATATAAAAAGGAAGAGCCCATAATTAATACTCATCTGTCTATAATTCTTTCTCTCTCTGATCGAATAACAACTTAGCGACCCCGGCGATGCTTCTGGTAAATAAAACGCAGGCACATATGCTAATAAAGTTTGCTAAGAGCAGGTCCAGCAACCTCCGATCCAAGCTCTGAAGGCTGACGTGGCGATGGTCGGAGACAATCCCCCCTCCAGCAAGCTCTGAAGCCGCTCCCAAGCATACCCTCCGTTCCTACGTGGCCATGGCTGTCTTCAGAGCTCCCAAGCGCTCCACAAATTTGTGGAGCGCTTGGGAGCTCCGAACTGGGGTGAAATTTTGCAAAACCCCCCCCAACAAAATAACCCATTACCGCCGAAGAGGAGATGGTCGTCGTGACCTGTGGCCGAAGAGGAGATGGTCGTCGTGACCTGTGGCCGAAGAGGAGATGGTCGTCGTGACCTGTGGTCGTCGTCGCCGAAGAGGACCGCGACATTAAGAGGAGGAGGTGGTCGTCGTGGCCGAAGGGATTGGGGATTTTGGGATTTTGGGTTGAAGGAGACGGAGAGGAAGACGATGGATTGGGGATTTAATTGGGTTCGGCTGGTTATTTGAGTGAAAAGAAATAATGTAATAAAGATAAGATGAAAAAGATAATGGATGAGATGGTATTGAGAGCCGTTGTTGAATTGAACGGTAAAAAAAATGAACGTTGAGTGAAAAATATTGCCGTTGAGATGAAAAAACTGGCATGAACAGTAAAAAATTCCTCTATAAATTCTCAATTCACTCCACAAAGATTTCCACACAACTCTCAATTCTCAATTCTCAATTCTCTCATAAAAAACTCTATAGTTTCTTATCAAATTACAAATCTCATGGATCCCTCCCAAAACTTTTATTCAGAACTCCTTACCGGTGAAGGATCGACCTTATACCCGTCGTTCTATACAGAAGGCGTAGAAGAAGGTCACCCTATTGAGTTCTCGCAATCGGCAACACAACAAGTGGCATCCCAAGAAACACCGCCCACAAAGAAGAAGAAGGCTTACACGCGGTCCGAAAATTGGACTGTCCACGAGGATAAGCTTCTCGTGTCTGCTTGGCTGAACACGAGCCAAGACGCCATCCAAGGTACGGGGCAACACAAAGATAAGTTTTGGCACCGAGCTAACGACTATTTTATCCTATACTCCACCGATCCAACGAGCCGCACGCCAAACCAAATGATGCATCGTTGGTCAACGATTCAATTGTCCGTCAACAAATTTTGTGGGTGCGTTGCTCAGATTGAAGGAAGACAAAGATCTGGTACGGGAATTATTGACCAGGTAAATATTTAATTATGTTTGATTATTTTTGCTCAGATTCAATATGTTTAATTATGTTTGATTATTCTAAAATTAACTCTTGTGTAGACTGCAGAAGTAAAAGAATTATACCAATCTCTTTATGGTAAACCATTCGTGTTTGACCATTGCTGGGTTGAGTTGCGTCATCATCAAAAGTGGATCCAACAAATGGAATCTGTCAATAAGATTCGATCACAGCCGAGAAGAATCGCTACCTCTGATTCCTCACCAAACAATTCCATGCCAACGACCCCCATCGGGTTGAACACTGACTCGGATGATGTGGTAGTAAGGCCTGAAGGGAGGAAAGCGGCAAAGCTCAAGAGGAAACAAAATGTGGAAAGCTCTGGATCCGCTACGTCCATCATGGGAGAGGCTTTCGCGTGGATGAAGGAGACCACAAATCAAAAAATAGAGCTAAAACAAAAGAAACAAGATGACGATATAATGAAGATGGATCTCTCAACACTTAATCCAGTTCAACGACGATACTTTGAAATGCGTCAGGCAGAGATATTGGAGAGGTGGATGTCTAAGGGTTCTTCCTAATTATCATATATTATCTTGTATTAGATTTATGATTGTACTCGCATCGCATCCTAATTAGTTCTTCCTAATTATCTTGTATTAGATTTATGATTCTACTTGAAGTTGGAAAATTTGGCATTTAATGAAAACAACTACTTTATTGAAAAGAGAATTGGCGTAGTACAACAACTCAAACTTCTTTGCTGAAATTACATTAGACATAAAGAAACTTAATCCTCGTCGATGGATCCCTTGAGCTGCCACAGATGCTCGATCAAATCATTCTTTAGTGATTTGTGTGTTTGCGTGTTCCTGATCCGATGATGATTTTGGATGAACTCAGTTAGAGGCACCGTCTGCACATGAGAAGGTTCAACGACTGGTATCGAATCATTAAAGTCGAAGTTGTTGTCCAATTGACAATCTCGTTCATCTTCAACGATCATGTTATGCATTATGATGCAAGCTGTCATGATGTCTTTCAGCACACTAGGTTGCCAGAAACGTCCTGGTCCACGAACAATCGCAAATCGAGCTTGCAACACGCCAAAAGCTCGCTCAACATCTTTTCTTGCGCTCTCTTGTTGTTGAGCAAAGTATTTATGCTTGTTTCCTCACGGTGCTGGAATAGTCTTCACTAATGTGGACCACTCTGGGTAAATCCCGTCGGCGAGATAGTATCCCATATTGTACTCGTGGCCATTAACAATATAGTTGCACGGTGAAGCTCTTCCCTCCGCAAGTTGTGCAAAAACCGGTGAACGGTGTAGCACATTGAGATCATTGTGAGACCCCGGCAGTCCAAAGAATGCATGCCATATCCAAAGATCTTTGCTAGCTACGGCCTCCAAAATAATTGTAGGTTCATGAAAATGCCCAGTATACATACCTTGCCAGGCGGTTGGACAGTTCTTCCATACCCAGTGCATGCAGTCGATGCTCCCAAGCATACCAGGAAAACCTCGTTGTGAACCTTCCTCGAGCAGGCGTGCAATGTCTTCATTAGTCGGTGAACGAAGGTATTCCTCCCCAAAGATGTTGATAATCGATCGAACGAACCTCTTCACGCTCTCAAGCGACGTACTTTTACCGATCCGAACGTAGTCCACGGTACGTCTTTTGTGTTGAACTGAAGTTGAACCTTTCCCTTGTTCTTCTTCCTCGACGGCAGCAGCTCCCATAAGAAAGAACCTCTTCATCATTTCATCATCGCTAGAGCTAGATGAGCTAGACATTTTGTTCTGGGAGACGATGGGTTGAGGTGAGAAGGCATCGAATTTTATAGGAATCAGTCGGTCAAAGTTTGCGATACCTCGAAGTTCGTGCCCAACCTCGAAGACCGCGAGCTACCTCGAAGACCGGGTGCGTTCCCTCGAAGACCGCGAGTTACCTCGAAGATCGTGTGCGTTCCCTCGAAGACCGCGGGGTACCTCGAAGACCGTGTGCGTTCCCTCGAAAGCCACGAGTTACCTCGAAGACCGTGTGCGCTCCCTCGAAAGCCGCGAGTTACCTCGAAGACCGTGTGCGCTCCCTCGAAGACCGTATCCAACGGTTAGAAATAAAATACAAGAGGTTTAAATATAATTAAAAGTAATGGGTAAAATATTAAAATAGAAGAGGGGTTTTTTTGATATTGTTGGAGCTCCTAACTAGGAGCTTGTTGGAGCTCCATAAAATAAGGAGATGCTCCCAAGGAGGATTTTTATAATTTTTTATACCAAAATGCTTGAGAGCTCTTGAGAGCTTGATGACTAGGACTCCCAACTGGGAGCTTGCTGGACTTGCTCTAAGAAATCCTACAATCATTACAGAATTGGCTCAGATAAGTAAATTCTTAACCCAAAATCAAATACCGGATTAAAATTGTTTCAGTAATTAGCTTTGAACAACGCTATTTAAATTCTAATCTAAATACACCAAGCACAAACAACGCTCTTAAGCTGAAATAACCGTTAAATTTCACGAAACACCCAAACGTTAGGACATTTTCATGAAACTCCCTAAACTTTTCCCAGAATTTTGTGTTGCCTCAAATAATCTTTTTAAACTTGTAGCTTTTCTCAAAATATGCCCCTAGAGGTGTCACTTTTCACAGTCAAATTACCCAAATACCCTTAACAAAAAAGTTATGTATTCCGTATCAGTTGCAAAAAAAATATCCCTTTAATAGAGTGAGTTTGGATGATGAAACAGCCAAAGATTTGGAGGGTTGTGTGAAATTGACCCTAAAAGGTGATTTTCATTACAACAATCATATAATATTATTTTTTGAGTACTTCAACATTTTTTAACTGAAATGTACAAAGTTATAAATGAAAAGGGGTAATAATTACTTTAACCTCGTTAAATTGAAATCCAATACAGCTATCTTCAAATGGTTGCGGTTTGTTACATCGCTCGCTCCGGTTAACTAACCGAACTCGGTATAAATTACTCTGATTAACTAGCGTAAGGATCCTGTGCTTCGCCGATTGCAAAGACAGCGTACAACCCAACTATTTTAGTTGTGGGGCCCATCGGATATACCAATAGTTAATCATCCACGTAAACAATTACAGCGGAGCAGTCGTCTACAACCAGCCCTGCAGAGGATCCGAACCGGACTGGAATCTTACAGCTAGCGCCACGGTTATAAATTACCTACACACTCCTCACTCTTTCACCCTCCCTCATTTTCCTCTTCCTCTTCTTCTTCGTCTCTTCAAGCTGCAGTCACCACCGAAATCCATGGCCAAGAAACTCAAAAGAGTTTAAAAAGGCGCTCATCAAGAAGTAGAAACTCAAAAGAGTTTAAAAAGGTGCTCATCAAGAAGTAGAAACTCAAAAGAGTTTAAAAGGTGATTTTCATTACAACAATTATATAATATATTTTTCAGGTACTTTAACATTTTTTAACTGAAAGGTAAAAAGTTATAAATGAAGAGGGGTAATGATTACTTTAACCTCGTTAAATTGAAATCCAATACAGTTGTCTTCGAACGGTTGCGGTTTGTAACATCGCTCGCTCCAATTAACTAACCGAACTCGGAATAAATTACTTTGATTAAATAGCCTAAGGATTCTGTGCTACGCTGGTTGCAAAGACAGCGTACAACCCAACTATTTTAGTTGCGGGGCCCATCGCATATACCAATAGTTTTCATCCACGTAAACAATTACAGAACCCAACTATTTTAGTTGCGGGGCCCATCGCATATACCAATAGTTTTCATCCACGTAAACAATTACAGTGGAACGGTCGTCTACAACCAGCCCTGCAGAGGATCCGAACCGGACTAGAATCTTACAACTGGCGCCACGGTTATAAATTACGCACACACTCCTCACTCTTTCACCCTCCCTCATTTTCCTCTTCCTCTTCTTCTTCGTCTCTTCAAGCTGTAGTCACCACCGAAATCCATGGCCAAGAAACTCAAAAGAGTTTAAAAAGGCGCTCATCAAGAAGTAGAAACTCAAAAGAGTTTAAAAAGGCGCTCATCAAGAAGTAGAAACTCAAAAGAGTTTAAAAATGCGCTCGTCAAGAAGTAGAAACTCAAGAGTTTAAAAGGTGATTTTCATTACAACAATTATATAATATTATTTTTCAGGTACTTTAACATTTTTTAACTGAAAGGTAAAAAGTTATAAATGAAGAGGGGTAATAATTACTTTAACCTCGTTAAATTGAAATCCAATACAGTTGTCTTCAAACGGTTGCGGTTTGTAACATCGCTCGCTCCAATTAACTAACCGAACTCGGAATAAATTACTTTGATTAAATAGCCTAAGGATTCTGTGCTACGCTGGTTGCAAAGACAGCGTACAACCCAACTATTTTAGTTGCGGGGCCCATCGCATATACCAATAGTTTTCATCCACGTAAACAATTACAGCGGAACGGTCGTCTACAACCAGCCCTGCAGAGGATCCGAACCGGACTGGAATCTTACAACTGGCGCCACGGTTATAAATTACGCACACACTCCTCGCTCTTTCACCCTCCCTCATTTTCCTCTTCCTCTTCTTCTTCGTCTCTTCAAGCTGTAGTCACCACCGAACTCTTTCACCCTCCCTCATTTTCCTCTTCCTCTTCTTCTTCGTCTCTTCAAGCTGTAGTCACCACCGAAATCCATGGCCAAGAAACTCAAAAGAGTTTAAAAAGGCGCTCATCAAGAAGTAGAAACTCAAAAGAGTTTAAAAAGGCGCTCATCAAAAAGTAGAAACTCAAAAGAGTTTAAAAGGTGATTTTCATTACAATAATCATATAATATTATTTTTGGGGTACTTTAACATTTTTTAACTGAAATGTAAAAAGTTATAAATGAAGAGGGGTAATAATTACTTTAACCTCGTTTAATTGAAATCCAATAAAATTGTCTTCAAACGGTTGCGGTTTGTTACATCGCTCGCTCCGGTTAACTAACTGAACTCGGTATAAATTACTATGATTAACTAGCGTAAGGATCCTGTGCTTCGCCAGTTGCAAAGACAACGTACAATCCAACTATTTTAGTTGCGGGGCCCATCGGATATACCAATAGTTTTCATCCACGTAAACATTTGCAGCGGAACAATCATCTATAACCAGCCCCGCAGAGGATCCGAACCGGATTGGAATCTTACAGCTAGCGCCACGGTTATAAATTATCCACACACTCCTCACTCTTTCACCCTCCCTCATTTTCCTCTTCCTCTTCTTCTTCGTCTCTTCAAGCTACAGTCACCACCGAAATCCATGGCCAAGAAACGCAAAAGAGTTTAAAAAGGCGCTCATCGAGAAGTAGAAACTCAAAAGAGTTTAAAAAGGCGCTCATCAAGAAGTAGAAACTCAAAAGAGTTTAAAAATGCGCTCATCAAGAAGTAGAAACTCAAAAGAGTTTAAAAGGTGATTTTCATTACAACAATCATATAATATTATTTTTGGGGTACTTTAACATTTTTTAACTGAAATGTAAAAAGTTATAAATGAAGAGGGGTAATGATTACTTTAACCTCGTTAAATTGAAATCCAATACAGCTGTCTTCAAACGGTTACGGTTTGTTACATCGTTCGCTCCGGTTAACTAACCGAACTAGGTATAAATTACTCTGATTAACTAGCGTAAGGATCCTGTGCTTTGCCGATTGCAAAGACAGCGTACAACCCAACTATTTTAGTTGCGGGGCCCATCGCATATACCAATAGTTTTCATCAACGTAAATAATTGCAGCAGAGCGGTCGTCTACAACCAGCCCTGCAGAGGATCCGAACCAGAGTGGAATCTTACAGCTAGCGCCACAGTTATAAATTACCCACACACTCCTCACTCTTTCACCCTCCCTTATTTTCCTCTTCCTCTTCTTCTTCGTCTCTTCAAGCTGTAGTCACCACCGAAATCCATGGCCAAGAAACTCAAAAGAGTTGAAAAAGGCGCTCATCGAGAAGCAGAAACTCAAAAGAGTTTAAAAAGGCGCTCATCAAGAAGTAGAAACTCAAAAGAGTTTAAAAGGTGATTTTCATTACAACAATCATATAATATTATTTTTGGGGTACTTTAACATTTTTTAATTGAAATGTAAAAAGTTATAAATGAAGAGGGGTAATAATTACTTTAACCTCGTTAAATTGAAATCCAATACAGCTGTCTTCAAACGGTTGCGGTTTGTTACATCGCTCGCTCCGGTTAACTAACCGAACTCGGTATAAATTACTCTGATTAACTAGCGTAAGGATCCTGTGCTTCACCGGTTGCAAAGATAGCGTACAACCCAACTATTTTAGTTGCGGGGCCCATCGGATATACCAATAGTTATCATCCACGTAAGCAATTGCAGCGGAGCAGTCGTCTACAACCAGCCCTGCAGAGGATCCGAACCGGACTGGAATCTTACAGCTGGCGCCACGGTTATAAATTACCCACACACTCCTCACTATTTCACCCTCCCTCATTTTCCTCTTCCTCTTCTTCTTCGTGTCTTCAAGCTGCAGTCACCACCGAATATGCCCAAAAGGGTTCATAACCCTAGGGCTTTGAGCTTTATTGATAGGAATCATGTCCCTAACCAATCCGACACCAAGAATGCTTGGGTGCCAAAATCTTTTTAAAACCAAGAATTGTATTATTTTTTATTTTTAATTTTTCTTTGTTTTGAAAATTATGTTTTAAAATTTTTTTAATATGAAAACAATCTTTCTTTGATCAATTCTTTTGTTTTCATGATTATTAGTGTCGATTTTTCAATTCTTTTGTTTTCATGATTATTAGTGTCGATTTTT